AATTTCCCCATTGTGGGACAATACAGGGATTTTCTATTCTATTCTCTTCTATTCTCCATGCTTGGTGTGAGGAATTGCTGCAGAGTCCCTGAGTCGATGCAATCAGCTGGTTTCCCTTAGAAAACTTTGAACCAATCTGAAAGATTTGTCACTGTGAAATGTCTTGAAAAGACACGTTGTGAATTGGCCCTATAGAAATATTTTACTTTACAAAAATCATCATGTATAAATTTTTTTAATATTTATTTAAAAACTGCATCTAAACCAATTGTAAAGAGTTGATGAACCAGATTGCTCCGCCATTTTAGTTTAGCCCTTATCCTAACATAAATCATCTATTCACCTTTTAGAAATGGTTTAGATGCTGTTTATTAAAGAATCAAACTTTAATAAACAACGTGTTTCTCATTAATTAATTGCCTCTTTCCATCTATAAATGATGATTTTGGTGATTATTTCAGAGCATAGCTGACTAAACAGGATTAAGATGAATGCTTCCAGAGTCGCTGTGTTAATGAGACATGGTGGTGGTAGCATCATGGAAGTTCAGAACAGGTTTTAATGAAAACGCTTTTCAGATTTTTATTGAGAATCATGTTAGAAGCTTTTACCATTTTAAAATAGTCTAAAACCTGTACCTCGGACACAAACTACTTTTAAGACTAGGTATATAACTTTCCTTTTTGATAAAGCTTATAGCCTGAGCCATCTCTATAGTTATGCTGCTATAGGCTTAGACTGCTGGAGGACATAGGGACCATTTTTTCATCATTCTCCATTCTATAAGCATGCTTAGTGTGAGGGATTGCTGAAGAGTCAATTAGTCGATGCAATCAGCTGGTTTTCCTTAGATAAAAAACTTTGAATCAATCTGACTGGATGATCTGGTGAACTGTAAAGTGCTCTGAGATGACATGATGTGAATTGGAGCTAAAGAATAAAAAGAATAGAATTGAAACCAGGGAGATGTAGATATTTTAAACCTGAGTGGCTCATGCAGTGGCCCTGCTTTAGGCTGAATATGCTGACATAATCCCACAGCTTTCTAAACATTTTTGGATTATAGGGTGGTGGTGCCTCTCAGGGACGGCCTCTGCCCACTGTGGAAACACCACGTCTTTGACTCAGGACATTGACTCAGGACATACTCTCTGCCTGCTGTATGCACCGCTGGGCTAATTAACCTGATTAGTGCGAGCGCGTTACAGCCGTATGTAATTGTTTTACCTGATTCTGACTCATGCAGTGGACTAATTGTCATTTACAGTAATGAGCAGCAGCCTCAGCTCTTAGCCAAACATTTCTCTCTGATTTTCATATTTTCCTGATTCTCTTTCAGCTGTTTGAGTTTAAAACTTTACCTGACTAAAAGAAAATTATTGTTGGACATTTCAGAATAGTACAGGTTTGCATCATTAATCATTTTATATGTGTAACTATTAGCAGAGTTTGAATATTTAACGCTGGTTGCCGAGAATTTAAGCCGGCATATGAACGCTGAACTCAAATGACATAGAAGCTCTAAAAGAAAATAGAAGCAGACACTGAGCTTATATCTGAGCAGATAAACTGTTTCATCTTTTCCTATCTACATATTTTACACAACTATGTAGATAACATTTTTTTCACACATCAGCAGATGTATTTCTATCTGGAGAAGTTAACCTGATGCTGGATTTAAAGCATTAATATCTGGTACCTTGTAGCCTGAAGAGTCATTTCTCCTGGACGTCCAGATGCTTTGCTTCCCAGTCACAAGCAAACTGTCTCACTCTGCCGTGTCTGTCTGTGACTCGCTCCCTGTGAGTAAACTCCAATCAGTGTGATGTCAGCAAAAACCAAACCAAGTTTATAGTTACAGGACTGCTGATTGGCTCCCAGAAACAACCCCCCCGCCACACACACACAACCTCTGGGTTTCTAGTTACATGTGGCATAAAAGAGCATCTTTGGTTTACCTTGTTCCATCTATAAAGTAAAAAAACTTGGTTTTGTTTTTGATCAGGACCTGTCATTTAAATCCCATATCAAAGAGGTTTCTAGAATTTCCTTCTTTCATCTGAGGAATATTGTAGAAATTAGAAATCTCTTGTCCAGGGGTGATGCTGAGAAACTAGTCCATGCATTTGTTACTTCAAGGCTGGACTATTGTAATTTTTTACTATCAGGAAGTCCACAAACTGTAGTTAAAAGCCTTCAGTGATCCAAAATGCTTGTCATGGGAAAAAAGCATATATTCATCCAAGTTAAATAAACAGAGATTGATTGATTTCACTCATTTTTTTCATATCTTTGCAAAGAGAGAACAGTTCATCATACAGCCCTAATGGCACAGATTTCTGCTCTGGGC